GTTGAACAAATATTTTACATATAAATCGTCAAATGCAGAGTTAAATGTTAACTTCTTCTAGATCACCACAACTACTTCAGAGTCTGTCCTTTAAATGGATTTTCAGTCACTTCTATGACAGAATAAGCTCAAAGATTTTAGAGTTTATAAAATATGTATGAAAAGTGAACATGTCGCATCCAAAGCGGTGCTCAAAGTAATAAACCAGTACAAAAGAACAAGGCCATCATTTATTTAATCGTGGGCACAAACTAAATAAAGTGCCATCAACCCTGACTGGTCTGCTGCAGGATCTGATGTAACTAATACCTGGAGTTTCCCACGCCGTTGACACTTTAAGTTTATTCTTCATCTCCATGTTGCTAAATACTAACTTTGTGAAAGTAACAATACCTTTTCCACTGCATTCCAGCGGGGTTACAATTTAGCCACTGAACCATAAATCATTCTGTGAGTCCTCTCGGTCCAAATCCCTTGAATGAGTCATGGTGCATTCACTGACCGTTACTGGGCAACGTGCGGCAAAGGCTGGACTAAAAACAGCCTCCGGCACGGCCTGTAATGGTATGACAGCGACAGGGTGGACAGAGACGAGGACGGAGTCGTCTTCGCCCGTCGATGATGTGTGCACCCTGCTCGCAGGGGAACACCCCACCGAACATGAACAGCTGCGACCCCACTCCCCCCACACACCCAGCGGGCTCCGTGCGCCTCGCTAACGCTTACACGAGCCAGGCTTTGTCACAGAACCACCCAGAACCCAGTGGGTTATTTTAATGTCAAAACGAGCACCAGCGGGTCGGAAGAGTAGCTCCGGTTCGAAGCCAGAGACAGCGTGGTGCAGGGAGGCAGCTCCTGACAGCTTCACTGATCCGCCATTTTGTTTTAGCCACAGAGCTAACTCTCACGAGCGTCTTTCGAATATATTAAAACGTGAAAAAAGCCTCCTGGCACGTGCTTCTTATATAACATAATGCTAATTTCTAAGTTACAACAAGTCACACGTTGTGTCAATGAACGGGTCGCAGAACATTTGTATTTTTGTAACCTAATTAGCGTCTGAAGCTTAGCTCCGCTGCTAGCGGAGCTCCGTTAGCTTGTAGCGGAAAAAGACTGTGGACATGAGCCAGACCCGCCGGAGCTAAAGGTCCACTTACCGTCATATCGCTCTGCCTGTTCAGCAAGTTTGGCCTGATATACTAGGTGTTCTCGCTCTCCCATCGTGCAGAAGGATGCGGGTACAGAGATAACACCAGCAAATCAAAGCGTCGATCTACGTTTCACAAACACGACGGTCTATCACACTGCGGCGGTGCTTTGAAACCAACTGGTCGACGAGTACTGATCCGCCCCACCGGCAGCTATGAGCGGGCACAGAGTGAGGACGGCAACCGGTCTCATCCGGGTACTGGACGCTAAGGCAGGCCGTTGTAACATATAATCAAACCACAATCTGTCTTTTTGATTTGTTTGTTTGTTGGAAAATAATGGTGTTTCTTCTAGTCATCAAAATTACAGCCCAACAAGTCGAAACTGAAAATTAAAATTCTAACATACAAGATCAAATCTAAGGATGTATTAAGAAACCATTAGATATTTAAAAAAAAGGTTTAGAATTCATTTCAACATTAAATGTCTATTTGCTTTTCTTTTTTGACAAAATAACCACCATTAACAATTCACATATCTCAAACATAATTACTGCAAACACAAATTATGCTAATTTTCACATCCACATACTTGAACCTTTTGGCTCTACAAGTACTTTCTCCTATTTAGAGTCAACATTGTAGATAATGAGTGGTGGCGCAGAGGTTAGAGAAGGTGGGCCTGTGATCGGAAGATCACCAGTTCAACTCCCGGTACCGACAACACCCAAATGTAGATGAAGCACCCAGACCTGCCTCCACCCTCATTTACCCCCACTCTGTGCCCTTGAGCAAGGCCCTTAACCCCCACCATCTGCTCCACACAGAGGCTGTGGTAGCTCGGTGGTCACGTCAGGAAGGACATCCGGCGTAAAAATAATCGCCAAGTCTTCGTGCGACTTAATTCGCTGTGGTGACCCCTGAAGAAGGGAGCAGCCGAAAGAAGAAGATTGTAGATATTTGAATACAGATTTTACAAAAACAAACCAATATTCAAAGATCCTTATTTTATTTGCTACTATATATAATCTTATTCTCACCAGTTTTATGTTAAAATGTTATCCCATCAAGTTTATTTATTCTTAATGTTTACCCGCTTCTTCCTTTCCGGGTCGCAGGGGTTACTGGTGCCCATCCAGCTATCACTGTGGGAGAGGCGAGTACACCCTGGACAAGTTGCAAGTCCATCACAAGGACACAAAGAAATAAATTACAACAACAACCTTTCACAAGTTTATGTAAATAAAAGACAAGAAAAAGACAATAAATAAATAAATAAACTGACAGCTCCTCCTATTTTTCTACATGGGCAGTTTCACTCTTCCACAAAAGGTAAATTGTTCAGAAAGAAAAACAATCTGCTCAGTATGATGGTTGATCCTAGGACTGCGCTCTTCTGGACAGAGATCCCTGAGGTTGTTCCTGGAATTTTTTGGAGCGACTGCCTGTGATCATAGCCTCATACACTGGCACTACTGAGGTCTGGACTCCACTTCTCTGTTTCCTCCTTGAACCCTGGGCATTCCTTAACCTTCTTGTGCTGTTTCCTCCTGATGTTACAGTCACTTGCTACATCTATCACAACTGCCTTCTTCTGAGGTTTGCTGACCACCGTCACCTGTTTGTTAGTCTTGACATGGAAGTCTCACAGTATCTTAGCCCTGCCATTCTCCACTACCTTTGGTGGTCTTCAGCTTTGGCTCCAGTTTATACTTGTCACAGGTGTGTACACTATTCCAGTCACTTGGTTATGGCATCTCGTATGTTTTGCCCACCTGCATTTTACATCTTGTTGTTAGTGTTAGCTGTCTCAGGGACATCTTTGCATAGCCTGCATCTTGGGCCTTGGTAGACTCTGACCTCTATTGCTCTTGTGCAGCCATTACTAGTGCCTCTCTGTGCTATCCTTTAGTCCAGCCCTCTCTGGTAAATGGACTGTACTTATATAGCACTTTTCTATCTTACTGAGATACTCAAAGCGCTTTACACAACAATCTGTGCCTCATTTACCCATTCATACAGCACTCTGCTAGATCTCTACAAAGCTAATGGAACAAATCATTCTAAAGAGACTAATCAGTGCTTTATCACATTCATACACTGATGGGACACACATCAGAGGCTATGAGGGGTTCAGTGTTTTGCCCAGGGACACTTCGGTATGTGACTGCTGGTGGAATCGGACCCCCAACTCTTGCATTGGAGGACGACTGTTCTAACCAGTCAGCTACAGCCGCTCCACTGAAAGGGGTGACACCCTCTCAGGGATGAAACCCTCCTTGCATTGAGAAGAGCTGTTATTTCTTGATGTCAGATTTCTACATGGCCAGGATATTCTACCAGCAGGGCATCTGATGACTGGCACAGCAGAAGTGTTGATGGCTTGGACTTGGCTTTCAGCTGGCTTTTCAGGACCTGCCTTACCCCCTGTAGGTACTTAGTTGTGGTTGACTTACATTTGACCTCATCATGGTGGCCATTTCCCAGTGGGATTCAAAGGTATTTTAGTATTGAAGTATTTGTTCTGGACATCTGCAATGTTGCCTTCAGGTATTAGTTTTGGCTGTCACCAGCAAACTGATTGATCCACAATGAGAAGGTGCTGACTGAGGTTGAGTTTGTTGCAGCTCCTCAGACTGAAAACTTTTCGTGGATAAAAGATGAAACGTTTCAACAAAGAAGCCGTCCAGAGGACCTGACTCAACCTTGTTAGGATTTCCTTCTTGGTGTAGAGATGTTTGCCTGGATTCCCAAATCATCCTCAGCTTCTTCTCTCCACCCTTGCTGTCTTCGCTCTAATCAATACTGCTGGTTTTCCTCCATGAGGCTCTACAAGCTCAAATCAGATTCTTATAAGCCACTGATAGAAGATTCCTCTCCTCCACTGTGAGCTCCACGTCCATTCAGGTACTAGGTACTACTATCCGTTCAGGTAGGTCAATCCCTTCAGTTGCGATCATTTTACCTCTGTTGGATACCATTCAACCACATTCATCCTGCCCAAATGACATTCAATATCCTTCCTGTATATCTTGGTGAGGTTAGTGACTCAGTCTCTCATTATGTTTGGCATAAAGCTTGGTGTCATTGATGTAGAGGTGATTGATGACTGGGCCATTTTGGGACCAAAACACACAGCCACACTTTGTGATGATGTGGCTAAAGGGTGTTTAGGCCCACGCAGGAGTGTGGACAGTGCGTCATGGGATATGTTCCACTTGATGCTGACTTGCTGTACAGTTGGCTTTGAATTTATTTCTAGAATCATCTTCAACATTCCAATTGATTTCTCAACAAAGGCTGTGTCCCGTTGATATACTGTAGTTTCAACAACTCCACTTTCCATGTGTGTGACTTTCCTCTAGTTAGACCAGGCAGTGCACAAGTTTGTGGATGTGATCTTACAGCATCAGTTCAGTCAATAGCTGGTGTTTGGCTCCTCGAGTGTTGGTGCCCATTCATCGTACCTGCTACGCCTGACAGGAGTACATGGAAACGTCTTTGTGTTGGTCTTTCATGATCAAGACTATCCAGCAGTCGATCAAGGATCACTAACCAGCTTGTAACTGCACACTACAAAATGTTGATGCCTGTTTCTGTTTATTTCTCATGGTAAAAATAAACGTGTTATCAAAATATCTCATGAACCACTAGAACAATTTAATAAAACCTTCAAGCAAGCATTGGATACAGCCTTGAAATATTTTGCAAATGCTATAAACACACACACACACACACACAAAGACATGGGCTAAAGAATTATTGCCCTTGTGTTGTCAGGCAAAAAAAATTATGACCCAGGAATGGCAAGTATTCCTGTTGCTAGGCAACTGCCGTGTGTAGCATGAAGAAAAAGGTTTTAATCATGACTAATGGCTGTTCAGTGAACTGAATTAAACATAAGGAATATGGTTTCCTAACTTTACTTTTTGGACACATCAAGAACTAGGCATACAACAAATCATTTGTCATAGGTTTGACTTTATTTACTAGTATATTAACACGTTACATGCTACTGAAAAAAAGGTCATTTCAATTATCTCGAAAGAATATAGTGTTATAATAAAATGGCACATTTTCATATTACACAATTTTCACTGGCATTTGGCCACCCGTTCCTTTTATCTGAAAGGAAAAATATGACTTCATGCAGGGCTACTAAAAAAATACTTCTCGTGTTTCTTATTGGCAACACATTTACGAGTTCTGTAGCGGAGCACCTGCTTTGTGCAATCTGAGTGACAATGAAGCTGAACATGATTAGAATTACACACAAAATCATTGGACTGTTTGAAAAACAGAGTAAATAAGTGTTTTTGTTTCTCTGCCAGACTTTTCCCACACTGCTGTTAAACTATTTTTAAAAAGTGACGTTTGGATTCGAGACAGCTGGCTACATAAACCAAGGGAGGACTGAACATGTCAGAGAGGTTTCTGTGAGGAGCACATGAACATACTGAAAGCTGTGAACATCTGTCTGAATGTTCCTGCAGCGCCACCTGTAGGTGACATCCTTTCACTGTCCGAAGACAAAGACTTGTTGTGGTCAAACTAATGTGCAGAATGTTAATGGGGTGGTGATTGTCAGCAGTCAACGAGGAGTTAGGAAACCAGTTTGTGGGAAGGACCCATCAACTACAATCTAGTTTCAAGAAAACAACCAAAAGGCAGAGGGAAGTGTAAAAACAGCATGTTGGCCTGTGCGCCGGAACTTAACGAGGCTACAAATAAAGCACAGGTAGAAGGAGGAAGCAGGAAGGACAAAAATACATGGGAGTATGAAAGAACTGGTGCAGGGTGGCAACATGTTTATAAAAAGGCATAAAACTAAGGACAGGTACCAAGTGATGCCACGGTCTCCTTCGACAGGACAAAACCTGGACACACAGCAGAGCCTCACTGAGCTGCGACCAGTTGGTGATGGGCGTTTACCAGTCTCCAGAACGTCCTCACTTCTGGAGCTGCAGACGTTCAGTTTGGTCAAGTTTGAAAACATTTGTACAACAAATTTTCTTTCTCAATCGTTGAGTTACGGTTTTGTTGCAGCCGCCTCCGATGGGTCTTACGAGCAGGGATGGACATTTTTTAGAATCGAAGACTTCTGTCCAGGCTTGTAAAAATGGTCCAATTTGAAGAATTAACACGGGCACTGAGTGTGACACCAAGTAAAGTCCAAAGTGTTTTTTTCATATGGTGTGTACTTTTTGTTGACAGCACCACCTCACGGAAACAAACCAGAAGCTTCTCCT